GCTTGGATATGGGCTTGTGTGTATGTGGGGGGGGGGGGGGAGGGGGGAGGGGGAGAAGACCCCTGTCCCTAGAAAGTTGTTCCCACTCATGGAGTACCGTGAAATATTGCACAATGCAGTATGATTGCAGGGGAATTGGTCCCGCAGTCCGGGACGGTCAGAGATACTCCATGATACTCCATGATTATAAATGTGGTACAGATTATGTCATGGGGGGAGTCAGCCAATTTTCTGATAGGCGCTATGTATGCAGTATGAGGCACTGGTGCAAAGTGCACCGCTGTGCCGCGAGTCCTCCACTTCACCAAAGCATCTCGACTGATGATGTAATCGCTTACAAGCAAACAGGACTGGTCGAGGCAGCTCCAACTTAACAAGGTAGAATCAAGGCTGTCGGTGGACCGACTATACAGAAGCACCTGTCTGCACGCTGTGCACCGTGGCTGCAGAGTTGTGCCCAGGCCTGCTTCCGATTGGGTACAAGCCTCGGCGCTGGTCAATTTCCACAGTTTCAAGAGTACTTTTTTTTTAACACGTAGGGCGTGCAATTTATGCGTACAGTGCTGTCCAGTCAGAATTTCAAGTTGACGTCATTTTCGTGATGCAATGCCCCTCGCACGAGTGATATACGAAGGTTTCACGGGGCTTCCACGCATCATTATCTGTTTCCTAGTACAGTATTGAAGAGAAAAAAAGGAGTTTGAGCAGGAATCGAACCTGCAACCATAAGATTCCCCAGCACCTATCTTGACCACCCAGCCACCAGGGTGTTGATGGATGAAACGGGATTTGTTCACCACATCTCCGGGATGCATCCAATATTACGAGAACACCACGCATTGAAACTTTTTATTTTTTAATGACAACTCGAAATTGTTATCGGATAGAATCTACAGTGCAGCTGAGGCCTCTTGGGGGCTATGTGCTCTTGTCTGTTTGCCCCCAGAGCCTACTGAATCATGACAGGTCACTTGTGACATGAAACTCTGCCGTCGCAGCACTGGATAGAGATTTTGTACGAGCAGCTGCACACCCTCCTATGCCATGTACTCTTGTTCGCAGCACTGTCAGGCGCCGAATAACAGAGCGCCGAAGAACGACCAGGCTAGATTTTCACCAAGCATAGTATAACACTGTAGGCACGGTAACTCAACTGTGCGTGAACTGTAATACATAAAAATAAGAACAGTCTACTGTCCATTCAGAAAGAGATGAGCGCTGGCTCTGGAGAGCTCCCGTGTTTGGTGCCGCGAGATTCGAAACTTTAAAAAGGGTCCAAAAAAAGGTACCTCAACTGGGGTTTGAACCGCAAATGTGCTGTTCTGCAAGTGGAGTGCACGGGTTTGATCTTCATGGCTTTTTCCCCAATTCAGTGCTTTGGGGGCAAAACCTGGCCGAAATCCTATTCTTGTTATGGCTTGCTCTTTGTAGAAATAGACTTCAAAAATACAATTGGAAGAGTATTCCATGGGGGATTGCCAAAAAATGCTCCTGTAGGGTATCAGAATCTAGTGGAGATACTAGGAAAGAGGAGATCTGTAGCTTTCCGAAGAGACCAACACGAAGAATTTCCAAAGCTGGTGAGTCAAGTTAGATAAATTTCAAATGCCCACTGTTACGTACTGGGATAGCTTTGTGCCTCTGTGCGTATTCGGTAGGAATCCAGGTCATCCGTGGTAGTCCTCAAAGGCTTAAAGCTCTGCAAACAGGAAATCATGAAATCAAAACAAACAAGAAAAAAGGGTCCAGCATATGCTCCTTTTTCTTTTTTTCTTTTTAACTTTGGCCAGTATGACTACTACAGTATTTATTCACTTTGTCTTGGGTATTAGACATGGGGAAGTTGCCATATAGGGGCATGAGCCCGCCTCCCGGCACTTCAGTGGACCCCCAGAGTAGATGGATATACACAGGTGAACTGGTAGGCGAAATCCAAATACAAGAGTGAAACAGAGCTGCATTCATTGCACAGGTCAGTGTCTGTAGTTCCGCAGGCACACATTCTGCGAGTGCTTCATCCATGAGGTCGGATTTCCCTTGCCGCCACTCTAGAAACGATAGATAATAATTCGTACTTAGTGGCCGTCCGTAAATACATGTATTTACTTATTTTACTTAGAGATTTCTAAGAGGCGTTTCTTTCTTGACCTACCCACCCATCCTCAGAAACGCCCCCCCCCCCAAAAATGCAGATAATACCACTCATAATGCACACATATACAGTACAGACGACGCCACTTATAACAAACTCACATATAGCGAACCCTTGTCCCTGTTTGAACCCATACAAAACTGACCCTGTAGCGAACAGTCTCCCTGTCCCCCTGGCCATTCTGCCGTGACCCATGCAGTGCATTGTAGACTGGTGTGCGTCTCAGCCCCTGCCTGTACTATAGCTGTAGCAATGCTAAGTCATGTACATACACGCTCGGTATGGTATGCATGCATTCCGAAATGTATTTTTTTAGAAACACCTTGCAGGCGAACCCACCCACCTGGCACCAGAAACGCATGTTAGACGTCTCTATGTAAATATGTAACCCGTATACTCTCAGCTACAAATACATGTAATTACGGACGGCTCCTTATATGTGAACTCGCAGTATTGCACTGGGGATGGGAGAGAAAGAGAAGAAAAAGCGCTTTCGAGCATTGGTAATACGATCGCCTGGTGATCACATGCATTTGCGACTGGAAATCTCCCATATGCCCATGCCACTGAGTTTTTCAAGCTTTTTTTCTCAGGGTTGGGTTGACGGACGGACTACCAGAGGGACGAACGACCGGACGGGCGCACGGACGGATGGACGGGCAAGTGACGTGAATGTTTTCAAAAATAATATTATTGAAAGGGACGCTTCGCAAGTATAGCTCGCATGCACCCGGCCAACGCTGTCGGAGAGGAGGAAGCGCATGACCTACAGTAGCTTCCCAGAGGCCAATGACTAGGGGATGAATTATTTCGGCGATGCTGTCGTTCAACCCTGAACCTACGGGCTGGAACGAACGCGTCAACTACTCGTTCACCCCCGCGTGTTACAAATCTTTTGAGGAACTGGAGCGGAACGGGGCGACGAGATCATCCAAAGAAGCAGCGGCATTATGTGAGATAAGGGCATGACAGATTTGCGTGGCCGCGTGATCTAAAATGCAGAGCACTAGGAGATCATGCTGTTCTTGCCCGCGAATGCATTTCGACCCAATGGCAGCTCCACGGCATGTACAGGAATCCCTTCTTATCCACAAGCTTACCTTTTTACTAGTCGATCTCAGAGTTCAATGAGCCTGCTAAGGTCTCCAATAGAGCTCCGAGTTCTCGCTCCTTTCACCAACACCTATCCTCCCAGGATGATCTGGGACAAACGTCCCGAGGACGCGAATAGAACCAAAATCTACCCGCTCCTTCTATCGTTCTCTGTTGACATGAAAACGAGAAGATCATGCTCCGAGACCTTCCTTCCTTCCCTACAACCTGCAATATCTCGCGATATATGGCGGGATCATCATTGCCTTCGAGTGCGGAGAAACGACAGGGTTTCCCCATCGTTTGGCCGAAAAATCACTCTAACGTGAAGTTATCTCCGTGAAGCGTCTCGAAATCATAAGGTCTTGATTGACTTTTGAGTTTCCAAGCGAGTTGGACGCAGTGAAATTTCGCGGAATGTCGACGCACACACCGCTGTTTGACCTTTCACGCGACCTTTCGACGACCGTTTGACCTCCGTGCGAGCCTTCGCTCGATTTGTGAGTTTCAACCTTCTTTGATCGCTCCACTCGCGAACTCCTCCAGGGCCTAGGGATGCACGCTGTACATCTACATGATCTACAGGGCTGGCAACTGAAATCCGACTGTAGCTATGCATCTGCAAACATCAAGACCTGTACTGTAGAGAGGGGGGGGGGGGGGTCTGATCTGACATGCTGGCATAATCACTTTTGGCAGTAGCTTGAGTAAATGGGTAAATGGCCGGCTGCATTTGCTGGACCGCCGGACTCTACTGTACTCAACGACTTACGTTACTTCTCAAGCCAAGTAAAAGCCAGGAGCCAGTGGAGGTAGATGTGCTGCCTCCTGTTGGTAAATCAGATCACGCTGTAGTTGTTGCCACATTCCGCGCTCGAGTGCAGCAAGAGATGCGCACGCACAGAACTGTTTGGCGCTACAACCAAGCAGATTGGAACCGTCTCCGCTCCCACCTTAGGAATACCAACTGGTCTGACATCATAACGGATGACCCGGACACTTCTTGCCAGCAGGTGACTGCCACGATATCCAACGCCGTCGCCCAGTTCGTTCCGTCAAAGGCAATGACCACCAAGCCATCGGATCCAAAGTGGTGGACCCCGGAGTGCACGCGGGCAATGGCCATCAAAGACAGGCATTCGCGGTCCTGGAGGCGCTCCCCCAGGATGAACAATTTGTGACGTCTGTCAATGAGGCTGTTGCAACCCTCTTCCGAGCCCGTCAGGCTAAGGAGGACAGCCTACGCCGCAGCTTATCAAACGGGTCCATGCACAGCAAGCAGTGGTGGACAAAGCTCAAGTGTGCAAGTGGTATGGGGCGCCATGCAGATATACCGCTGATTGCTGACGCCGATGGCCACGAGTACGCAACAAGTGCAGAGAAATCGGAGGCATTTGGACACTTCTTTGCAAACAAGTGTAGCATCCCCGGCGACGATATCTCCGCTGCTGATCTCCCTCCCCACTGCTTGCCCACATCCCAACCGATCAGTACCATTCACTTCCGACCTGAAGCAGTGCGTCGAGTTCTGGCTAGACTGGATACGTCACAGGCATCGGGACCGGATGAAATATCTGCCCGGGTGCTCAAGAAGTGTGCCAAAGAACTAGCTTCACCACTGTGTCAGCTGTTTTCCCTCTGCTTACGACGAGGCATTCAACCCAATATGTGGAAAACTGCAAACGTGGTTCCTATCCACAAAAAGGCTTCGCGTTCCGTGCTCAAGAACTACCGCCCTGTTTCGTTGCTGAGCATC